GATGTGACCACGGAGGGCTCCAGGGACGGCCCCCACATGACTGACCATGAAGGGCTCCAGATATCCCGACAAGACTGACCATGGAGGGCTCCAGGGACGGTCCCCACATGACTGACCATGAGGGCTCTAAGTAAAATTCAAGTGAGACTGAACCCTTAGCAGTCCATGGTGATCACAGTTGAGGCCAGCCACTGAGGAATTTGAGGGTGGGCACAGTAAAAGTGACCATGAAGGACTCAGGAGGATTTGCAGGTGGTCGGAGGGAGCTCATATGCTAAGAACTGGAGGGTGAGAAGCAAAAGACTGGCCATTGAAGGCTCATGGTTCAGAGCAGAATCACCACCAAGGACTGAACTGCAGAGTTCCAGAACTTCAAGGGACTTGACCAGCTAGTAAACCCCGAACTTAATCAGAATCTTCACTAGAATGTGCTGGGCTTGAAGACTTCCAGGAAGGGAAAAATCAACATCTCAATACACCCTGTTCCACTTCTAGATAGAGCTTTTTTTTTTTTTTTTTTTTTTGGTGAGTCAATTGGGGTTAAGTGACTTGCCCAGGATCACACAGCCAGTAAGTGTTATATGTCTGAGGTCGGATTTGAACTCAGGTCCTCCTGACTGCAGGGCCGGTGCTCTATCCACTGTGCCACCTAGCTGCCCCTTACAGCTCCTCTTGAGGAAGTGTTGGTGATCTCAAGCCTAAATTGTCCTCTTTGCTTGTTCTGTCCATTTGTTCCACTTTCTGACCTCTGGGTCCAAACTTCCCTTTGCCACATGACAGCCTTTGAAGAGAGCTGTCATATGACCCTGGGCCTTCTCTTCTTTAACCTAAACGTCTCTCATTCGTTCAACTAGTATTCGTCTAGCATGGATTTGAGGGTTATTAAAAATGAGTCTGGCCACTGAGAACTCCAGTACTAACTAGAAGACCAGCACTTGTGAGCTTGAGGGCCCTCACAGCAGGACCATGCTGAAATCTGGGGGTGACAGCTTCCGTGATACCAGAAATAAAGGAAATAGGACTAATGAAGAAGAAACATTGAGACTCAAGGGAAAGAACCCCAGAAATGAGCCTGGAGATAAATGAAGTCCAGGGAGGGTGGGAAACCTGGCACCAAAATAGAGAGAAGGTAGAAGAAATTGAGAACAAAGAGGAGTTGCGAAGATGGCAAGGGTGGGATCCTGAGAGCCCTGATGCCTTGACAGTGATCATGACCGAGCCAGCGAGGGAGCATTAGATACTTGGCGAGAAGATGGTTGTCAAGGAGGGTGGTTTTCTTCGAGGGTCAGAGGGTCAGAGGAACCTGAGGTTTCCAGACTGATACTGGGCCCAGTCTCCCCATGTCAGCTAGAGCCCAGGAACTCCCCAAACGTTCCATCCCACTAGGTCTTCCAGAGGTCATCCCACGCAGCTCTAGCAAAGGTCCAGTGAGGATGTGTGATTGTGGAGGGTCTGCACTGACAGCAGTTGTAGTTGTCCTGGCTCTTAGAGACAAAGTTGAGAGACCACCATTCTCAGGGAATGAGATAAGTGAGTTGGATGGCTCAGTGGGCCTGGGGGAGCTGGGCCCAAGAACTGGAGGGGGGTCCAATCTCCCTCTCTATGGAGGTTCTAAAGCATTGCCTTATGGACCTTTGAGGTGGGGGCAAGGAGATGGGGAATAAGACTTGGGCCCTGCTGGTGATGGGTGAGTGAGGGTGAGACTGAACATGGACACACTTACTCATTCAGCACACATTTTTATAATACAGTGTCTGTTGTGTGGTTTAGCAAGAGGGAAAGGGGACAGAGAAGGAAGAAGCAACTGGCCCTTGGGGCTCTCCCAGACATCAAGAGTAGGGCTAGGCGTTCAGTACCTATTAACCTACAGTGTTTGACCCCCCCCCCCGAATGGGGTACTGAGGGCAATAGGAGACTGTGCCCAGTGCCTTCAGGTGCTGGGCCAGGATGGCAATAGGGCAGATCTTCCCAAATCTCCTTCCTTCTGTACCTTTTTTTTCTCCCTCTCTCCTTCCCATCCTTCCTTCTTTATTTCCCTCCCTTCCCTCTCCCTGCCATTCTTACTTCCTCTTCCTTCTCTTTCCTTTCCCTTCCTTCCTTCCTTCCTTCTCATTAAACACTGAGTGATCAGCGCTGAGTAGAAGATAGGATTAAACAGGCTTCATCTTGTAAAAAAAGGAAGGAGGCCAGAAATGGTGTCCCTAGGTCCCTGACCAGCTCTAGCAAAGGATTGCTAAGCACCTGGTATTTAAAAGAGGGAGGGACCTTGAAGCGAGGAGGGGTGTGAGACCCAGGACGACTCCTTGGGGGAGGGGGCTATTTGAACGGAGCCTCGAAGGATTGGGACAGGTGGAGTTGGGAGTTGGGAGAAGAGCCTTCTAGGCTGGGAAATGCCAGGCCAAAGTGTTTTCTGCTTCTCCCCATTACCCCCCCCCCCTTCCTTTATGTCTCCTTCCACCACGTCTTTTATTCAGTCTCTATCTCACTCTCCCTAACAGCTCCCAGATCATTTCCACTTGGCTCCCAGATGGGTGCTCCTGGATTTCCCATTAAGCCCTCACACTCAGTTTTGGGGTCAGTGTTTATATCTGTCTCTCTCTTATCCTGACCTCTCCCTGTCTCTGGGTCTACTTCTGTACACTCTGTCTACAGTTCCTCTGTCTTCATGTTTCTGTCACTTTCCTTTGAGACCCACTTCTCCATGTCATCAATTAAGGAAACATTAAAAACCTCCTTTCTATTAAAACTGAAAATATTAAGAAATAATGTTTCTCCAGACTAAAGGCTTTCCCTCCTCACCAGTGTTTTGCTTCTGAACATCACTTCCCTTAATCTGCCCTCCCTTCTATCAGCCTCCTTCCCTTTTCTTTCCCCTTTCTCCTCCTACTTCCCTATAAAGATAGATTTCTTTTTTCTTTAGGCAATTGGGGTTAAGTGACTTGCCCAGGGTAACACACGGCTAGTGTTAAATGTTTGGTCCGAGGTCGGATTTGAACTCAGGTCCTCCTGACTTCAGAACCGGTGCTCTATCCACTGCACCACCTAGCTGCCCCAATAGACTTTATTTTAATCAACTGAATGTGTATGTTACTCCCTCTTTGAGCCATATTCCATGAGAGTAAAGTTCAAACAATGCTCTCCCT